TGTGTGTGTGGTGTGTGTGTGTGTGTGTGTGTGTGTGTGTGTGTGTGTGGTGTGTGTGTGTGTGTGTGTGTGTGTGTGTGTGTGTGTGTGTGTGTGTGTGTGTGTGTGTGTGTGTGTGTGTGTGCAGGTGCGTCTGGAGGGTCTGACGGGCCGTGTGCAGTTCGATGAGCGGGGGCAGCGCACCAACTTCTCTCTGAGGGTGATGGAGCTCGGCCTGGACACGCCGCGACAGGTGAGGCCGCTGCTCTCTAACAGAGCTTCTGTGCGGAGAGGATTCACTTTCAATAATTAGCTCCTGCTCCACTGATTAAAGAGAATCTGTGGAATCAGCTGCTGCAGCGCTAAAACCTGCAGACTGTCAGCGCGCTGCTCCACTCCAGGGAGGAGGAAGCGTTAGGATTTAGTAAAAGTAGCAAAACCACAATTTAGAATACATTAATTTAGCTGACGGTTTTATCCAAAGACACCATCAGGACTAATAATCAAGTGCTGAAGCTTTGAATAAGCATTTTTTTAAGTATGTTTAATCATCTTTACATACTCTTACAAGTTAGCAATCTAAGTAAGTGGTTATCTGCTGTGTTCAGATCGGCTACTGGAGCGAGCGCAGAGGCTACGTGAACACGGCCATCTACAAGCCGGTTCAGGAGGAGTTCCACGGCCTGCAGAACCGCACCTACGTGGTCACCACCATCCTGGTAAGAACACGTCATGAGATCACATCCACATGTGTTGGTTAAAGTAACGCCTGCGATCCCTACATGATCCAGGTGTGTGTTGCAAATGGTTAATGGACTGTACTTATATAGCGCTTTATCCAGGCTTTACGACCCCTCAACGCTTTAGAATAGATACTACGAGTCCTTCACACAAAGCAGCACCACTTGCTCTATGGAAGCTAACACACACACACACACACTCACATGCGCACACTCACACACCGTTGGCCATCAGTAGCACCTCAGTATCTTGCCCAAGGACACATCGACATGTTGACTGCAGGCTGGGATCGAACCAACAACCTGCCGGTTTAAAGATGACCGCACTCCCTCACAGCCACAGTAACCCCTGAACCGTCTCTTGTGGCTGAAATCAGGGGCGGACTGGGACTAAAAATCAGCTCGAGAAACTCGACCGGCGGACCGGCCCAACTCGGTACCGCTAGTCAATTGTCAACGGGGGGGGGGGGGGGGGGGGGGGTGTGCTAGTGAAATGTCCGACCGGCCCACTTCGGTACCCGATGGCCTGTCCGCCCCTGGCTGAAATGAGTATTACATCATCAAACATGGCAATCAATAAACCTTCCTGTTTTCCCTAGAAACACGTATGTTCACCTGTAAACCGGTACTTCATTATTTTCCTCCTGGCAACAATTTTTACAGACGTTTTTTCCGATGACATAACAAAGGACGGTAATTAAGGGTAAAACAAGTTAACTACTCCGCCTGGTTTGAAGTCATAAATACATTAAAGCAGGTATTTAGTTCTGCAGAACCAAACCTTCGTCGTCAGCACCATCCTGGTAAGACGGGGAACACACGTCATGTGAAAACTGAGCGTGTTGGTTGAAGTAACGCCTGGCTCTCCGTGCAGGAAGCCCCCTACATGATGCTGAAGAAGAACCACGAGCAGTACGAAGGGAACGAGCGCTACGAGGGCTACTGCGCAGAACTGGCCGCCGAGATCGCCAAACATGTGGGCTTCGTTTACCGCCTAGAGCTGGTGGGGGACGGAAAGTACGGATCCAGAGACGGAGATACCAAGATGTGGAACGGGATGGTGGGAGAGCTGGTGTACGGGGTGAGTGGGGGGATGCATCTCACAGACTAAGTGAGATGAACTCCCTCCCTAGCTTTGAAACAGCAAGCACAAAGAAACAACACAATCTTATTTCTCCCTCTCTTTTGACCGGTTATCAATAAATCAAGGAACCTGCCGGACTATCAGGCAGAAGCTTTCCCCTGTTTTTATAATGACAATAAAGAAGGAAAATGTTAAGTTATTAAAACAGGAGAGAACCCTTCATCTGAGTGTGGACGTGTAGTTTGGTTCCCTTTGAGGACATGGAGTGTACTTCAGCCTCTTGTGGCCAACATGAGTACTACAACAAAGCAGCAACGTAAAATGTTAGAAGCTTTCAAAAGCTTTTTTTATTTCAATTTGCAAAACCTGAAAAATAATGATGGTCCTGGGATAAAGTTACATTTGTCGGTTTCCAAAATATTCTTGAATTAACCTTAAGCAAAACTGTGATATTGTCACCAGGCAAAACATTTATTTGATATATATATTTGATATTATTTATTTATTTAGACTCTACTCTATAAAACCTTTATTTTTTTAAATATATTTTTCTTCTGCAGAACTTTTTTTATTTATATTTATTTGTTGTCATATAAAAACGTGTAGAAAGATCTACAGCTCTCCTGTATTGTTGTTGTTACCTGTCCTCCTCTCTCTCAGGTGTGTGTTGTTACCTGTCCTCCTCTCTCTCTCAGGTGTGTGTTGTTACCTGTCCTCTCTCTCTCAGGTGTGTGTTGTTACCTGTCCTCCTCTCTCTCAGGTGTGTGTGTTTACCTGTCTCTCTCTCTCAGGTGTGTGTGTTTACCTGTCTCTCTCTCAGGTGTGTGTGTTTACCTGTCTATCTCTCTCTCTCTCAGGTGTGTGTGTTTACCTGTCTCTCTCTCTCAGGTGTGTGTGTTTACCTGTCTCTCTCTCTCAGGTGTGTGTGTTTACCTGTCTCTCTCTCTCAGGTGTGTGTGTTTACCTGTCTCTCTCTCAGGTGTGTGTGTTTACCTGTCCTCCTCTCTCTCTCAGGTGTGTGTTGTTACCTGTCCTCCTCTCTCTCAGGTGTGTGTTGTTACCTGTCCTCTCTCTCTCAGGTGTGTGTTGTTATCTGTCCTCCTCTCTCTCAGGTGTGTGTTGTTACCTGTCCTCCTCTCTCTCTCTCAGGTGTGTGTGTTTACCTGTCTCTCTCTCAGCTGTGTGTGTTTACCTGTCCTCTCTCTCAGGTGTGTGTTGTTACCTGTCCTCCTCTCTCTCAGGTGTGTGTTGTTACCTGTCCTCTCTCTCTCAGGTGTGTGTTGTTACCTGTCCTCTCTCTCTCAGGTGTGTGTTGTTACCTGTCCTCTTCTCTCTCAGGTGTGTGTTGTTACCTGTCCTATGTCTCTCAGGTGTGTGTTGTTACCTGTCCTCCTCTCTCTCTCAGGTGTGTGTTGTTACCTGTCCTCTCTCTCTCAGGTGTGTGTTGTTACCTGTCCTCCTCTCTCTCTCAGGTGTGTGTTGTTACCTGTCCTCCTCTCTCTCAGGTGTGTGTTGTTACCTGTCCTCCTCTCTCTCAGGTGTGTGTTGTTACCTGTCCTCTCTCTCTCAGGTGTGTGTTGTTACCTGTCCTCTTCTCTCTCAGGTGTGTGTTGTTACCTGTCCTCTTCTCTCTCAGGTGTGTGTTGTTACCTGTCCTCCTCTCTCTCAGGTGTGTGTTGTTACATGTCCTCCTCTCTCTCAGGTGTGTGTTGTTACCTGTCCTCCTCTCTCTCAGGTGTGTGTTGTTACCTGTCCTCCTCTCTCTCAGGTGTGTGTTGTTACCTGTCCTCCTCTCTCTCAGGTGTGTGTTGTTACCTGTCCTCTCTCTCTCAGGTGTGTGTTGTTACCTGTCCTCCTCTCTCTCTCAGGTGTGTGTTGTTACCTGTCCTCCTCTCTCTCAGGTGTGTGTTGTTACCTGTCCTCCTCTCTCTCAGGTGTGTGTTGTTACCTGTCCTCCTCTCTCTCAGGTGTGTGTTGTTACCTGTCCTCCTCTCTCTCAGGTGTGTGTTGTTACCTGTCCTCTCTCTCAGGTGTGTGTTGTTACCTGTCCTCTCTCTCAGGTGTGTGTTGTTACCTGTCCTCCTCTCTCTCAGGTGTGTGTTGTTACCTGTCCTCCTCTCTCTCAGGTGTGTGTTGTTACCTGTCCTCCTCTCTCTCAGGTGTGTGTTGTTACCTGTCCTCTCTCTCAGGTGTGTGTTGTTACCTGTCCTCCTCTCTCTCTGGTGTGTGTTGTTACCTGTCCTCCTCTCTCTCAGGTGTGTGTTGTTACCTGTCCTCCTCTCTCCCCTGCAGAAGGCAGATGTGGCGGTGGCCCCCCTCACCATCACGCTGGTGAGGGAGCAGGTGATCGACTTCACGAAGCCCTTCATGTCTCTGGGTATCTCCATCATGATCAAGAAACCCACCAAGTCCAAACCGGGGGTGTTCTCCTTCCTCGACCCGCTTGCCTACGAGATCTGGATGTGCATCGTGTTCGCCTACATCG